TACCCCAACTCTATACTCCTTTCTTATAAATGAAGATGTCTTTGACATTTGGAGGTGTAAACATGCAGGTGAAAGAGATTACACTTTTTTTTTCGGCTAGACACCAATCTTATTTGAGAATTGACTTTATATTGGTACATAAATGGCTACTGCAAAATCTTACCATATCAACAATAGGCAATATAAAGTGGTGTGACATTATGAAAGGCGAGGTGATTGGTGGATGCTATGTGTCACCTCGCATGCGGTCCTATCTAGGACATTAAGATGGAGTCGAGTCCGAGTTTTCCAGGCCACTATGGCAGAGGTGGTTCCGGACCTGTTTTTGTGGTCCACTGATGACCACCAGCAGGTGGTATAAATAAGGCAGGACTGAAGCAAGATGTTGCTCTTGGCCTGGGACTCAAAGAGCCATATCTGAGTGAGCTGTGGATGAAAGTTTGCGTTGTACAAGAAAGGAAAAGGTTTGCATACCATTTTGATTTTGTTGGTGAAAGGGAGAAGCCCTTCACCGGTGTTTAGTTAGTGCCTGGATGGCGAGGGTTTATTTTCTGTTTTTGTTTGGTTTATGATGCTTGCAACCTTTTGAATAAAACTGACGACAAGTCAGATTTTACGAAAGCCCTGCTGTCTGGACTACCTTTTTCCCAGGGAAGGTGATCCCCCACCTGAGCTACTCCCACAGTGGTCAGACCACATGCTTGTTTCAATTACTATTTGGGATAACCACTTATTGAAACCACACAACCTCTGGTGCGTAAATTCGTCCATTATAAAAATCCCCAACAATAACTTGATACTTGAAACACATCTTGAGGAGTTCTTCCATATAAATCGCAATCTGTATCAAACTCTGGCATCCTTTGGTGCGCTCAAAAAGCATATATACGTGGTATAATTTTACAAATGTGCACAAAAGCTAAAAAGCAAAGAAACAAACAGCTTAATGACTTACTACAGGATATTCGCAAACTAGAAAAGCAAAATAAAGCTCAAATAGATCAAACCACCTTGAACACACTCTCCAGACTAAGGAACAAATTACGCTCCTTACTAATGTACAGTTGTGTTCAAAATAATAGCAGTCAGACATCACTAACCTGATCAATCACTGTTTCTGGTTGAAATTATATTTTTACATGGCAAATAATTTACTAGTAGGTGTAGTAGAGTAATAGAAATCCAACAGACCCAACAGTCATGACATGCATGCTGCTGATTCTGTGTAATTGAATCACTAATTGAAAGGGGCATGTTCGAAGTAATAGCAGTGTGGAGTTCTATTAGTGAGGTCATTCAAACAGGTAGCAATTATTGCCCTTATTTAAGGAAGGAAGGCAGCAAATGTACATGCTGGTTACATTGCATTTCTCTCTGAAATTCTGAGGAAAATGGGTCGCTCCAGACATTGTCCAGAAGAACAACGTACCTTGATTAAAAAGTTGATTGGAGAGGGGAAAACATATAAACAAGTGCAGAAAATGATATGCTGCCTGCTCAGCTAAAATGATCGAAAATGCTTTAAAATGGCAACCAAAACCTGAAAGACGTGGAAGAAAGCGAAAAACTACCATTCGAATGGATAGAAGAATAGCCAAAATGGCAAGGACTCAGCCAACAATCAGCTCCAGGAAGATCAAAGAAGGTCTAAAGTTACCTGTGAGTACCGTTACAATTAGAAGACACCTATGTGAAGCCAAGCTATCTGCAAGAAGCCCATGCAAAGTCCCACTGTTGAAAAAAAGACGTTCTGAAGAGGATACAATTTGCCAAAGAGCACATTGGCCTAAAGAGAAATGGCACAACATTTTGTGGACTGATGAAAGTAAGATTGTTCTTTTTGGGTCTAGTGGCCGGAGACACTGGTCCCGGACTTTTGCCATTCCGTAGTTTTTCTATTGTTCTGTTAATTTCATGTATTGTGATGGGGGAGTATAAGATACTTAGTTGTGATTTTGAAAGAGTGGGTAAGCGAATTTGTGATAAAAATGCTTGCATGTTTTCTATAGAAGGTTGGAGAGTGGATTTGTCTTGATCTAGGTTATAAAGCGAATCGTAGTAACTAGCAAATTAATTTGCTATTTCTGGAGGCTTAGTTTTATCTTTTGGATTGATAAGATACAGTGTTTTAGTTCTAGTATGCAAGGATTTCATTTTATTCACTAGGTATTTCCCTGCTTTGTTTCCATTAGAGTAGTTGTTGAGTTTTAATCTTTGCATACTTCGATCAAATGGTACAGTTGTGTTCAAAATAATAGCAGTGTGTTGAAAAAACTGAATAAAGCTCAAAATCCTTCTAAAAGCTTTTATTTCCATGCACACAAATGCATTGGAAACACTACACATTCTATTCCAAATCAAAACATGAAGAAAAATATATCAAATTTGTATTGTTCCTATAAAATAATTGAAGAAAAGTGAATATTAGACTGTTCAACCAACTTCTGGCACCTGTGAACAGGTATTCCAGCCCAGGATGATTGGACTACATTCCACAGTTCTTTCTATTTCTTGGTTTTTCCTCAGAAACTGCATTTTTGATGTCACCCCACAAGTTTTCTATTGGATTAAGATCCGGGGATTGGGCTGGCCACTCCATAGCGTCAATCTTGTTGGTTTGGAACCAAGATGTTGCACGTTTACTGGTGTGTTTGGGGTCGTTGTCTTGTTGGAACACCCATTTCAAGGGCATTTCCTCTTCAGCATAAGGCAGCATGACCTCTTCAAGTATTCTGATGTATTCAAACTGATCCATGATCCCTGATATGCGATAAATAGGCCCAACATCGTAGTATGAGAAACATCCCCATATCATGATGCTTGCGCAACCATGCTTCACTGTCTTCTAAGTGTACTGTGGCTTGAATTCAGTGTTTGGGGGTCATCTGACAAACTGTCTCCGGCCACCAGACCCAAAAAGAACAATCTTACTTTCATCAGTCCACAAAATGTTGCGCCATTTCTCTTTATGCCAGTCAATGTGCTGTTTGGTAAATTGTAACCTCTTCAGCACATGTCTTTTTTTCAACAGTGGGACTTTGCGGGGGGTTCTTGCAGATAGCATGGCTTCACATAGGTGTTGTCAGGAATGGACTTGCCAATAACGGTGGGACTCACCTGCCTTGTGGGCTGCAGTACCAGGGGGTGGCCAGCGGGTGCTCTCAGCAATCAGAGACTCATCCCTGCAGTCAGCCAAAACACCTGAAGCTGATTGCAGGGGTTGTATTTAAGGAATGGCCAGACTCACAGTCAGGGCCTTGGTGTGTGTTTTTCCATGGGCCCCTGTATCTTGTAACCTGCATTCCTGTTCCTGTTTCTGCCTGACTTGTTGCCGACCCTGCCTGATCCTGACCTCTGCTGACTTCTCCTGTTTGATCCCTGGCTTGTGACCCTGACCATTCTCTCCGCCTGCTCCTCCTGTACCTACCTTCCCGATAGTTATCGACCCGGCCTGCCTGACTACGTTGTGCTCTATATGTGTATGTACCTGTGTATCTATATCAGTTTAGGTTTGGGTTTGTTTCACCTTGTTGTATGTATTTGTGTTAGCTTGGGGTTTGGTGCACTGCATTTATATTTGTATTGTTAGTCTCAATAAATTATATTATTTACTATATCTGAAGCCTACGTTTCCCTGTGTCAGTCCACACACTTCTGGTCACACCCGCATCCCTGACAGGTGTCTTCTAATTGTAACAGTACTCACAGGTAACTTTAGACCTTCTTTGATCTTCCTGGAGCTGATTGTTGGCTGAGTCCTTGCCATTTTGGCTATTCTTCTATCCATTCGAATGGTAGTTTTTCGCTTTCTTCCATGTCTTTCAGGTTTTGGTTGCCATTTTAAAGCATTTTCGATCATTTTAGCTGAGCAGCCCATCATTTTCTGCACTTTATATGTTTTCTCCTCTCCAATCAACTTTTTAATCAAGGTACGCTGTTCTGAACAATGTCTGGAACGACCCATTTTCCTCAGAATTTCAGAGAGAAAATGCACTGTAACCAGCATGTACAACATTTGCTGCCTTCCTTCCTTAAATAAGGGCAATAATGTCCACCTGTTTTTCAAAGAATGAATGACCTCACTAATAGAACTCCACACTGCTATTATTTTGAACATGCCCCTTTCAATTAGTGATTCAATTACACAGAATCAGCAGCATGCATGTCATGACTGTTGGGTCTGTTGGATTTCTATTACTCTACTACACCTGCTAGTAAATTATTTGCCATGTAGAAATATCATTTCTACCAAAAACAGTGATTGATCAGGTTAGTGATGTCTGACTGCTATTATTTTGAACACAACTGTATATATATACCCAAAGTAGCTTTACAGTTCTATAGCTCCGATGCTCCTAAATCAGGTGGTATAACCCTATTTTATAACCTTCTACAATGTAAATCAGAATTTAATAAGACTACTCCTTTAATCAAGTGGGAAAAAGACTTGGAGACTGAAATCTCTAATGTGTAGTGGGAATGTGCATTTGGGAATGTGTTTTCAACTATTACATGTGTTAACCTTTGGGAGCTAACGCACAAAATTTCCACAAGATGGTATCTAACTCCTTACCAAATGGTCAAATTCTCAGAACAATATAGTCCTCAATGCTGGAGAAACTGTGGTCAGATTGGTACTCTATTACATATATCATGGACATGTAAAAATATTAGAAGCTATTAGTATAAAATCTTCCACATGATATTGGAAATTACTTAAATATTAAAACAACCAGATCCTACCCTAGCCATTTTGAATATAAATATAGATACCTATCAAATCCATTATTGACTCTTAGTGACACATATTCTTCAAGCATCAAGACTTACCATTATTAGACAAGGGAAAAAAGACTTACCGTACTTCTTGCTCCATAAGACACACTTTTTTCCCCCCAAAAAATGGGGAAAAATGTCTGTGCGTCTTATGGAGCGAATATGGAGTGGCCGGCCTGGTATTCCCACTGCCACCATGTTAGAATACCCAGCTGGCCGGCTGCTCGCCTCTACTGTGCAGAAGGACCTGCTTCTTGGTCCTACCTCTTCCTCGGTCCAGCAGTGACCTGCTTTTACCAGCCGTCTTCTCTCCCTGGCGCCGGCATCTTCAGTGTGGGCACCCGGCTGTGACAGCTTGTGGCCACAGCCAGGTGACCACTGCGCATTCTCGAAAAGTCACCTGTAGTCTTCTGGTACCTGTCACGTGTCCCACAAAACTACGTGGATTCGTACCTGTCAAATTCGGGTACCCCGCTCCCCAAAGGTCTGCAGTCTCGGGTCATCTCCTGTACTATGTCCGCAGTCTCTGGTCATCTCCTGTACTATGTCCGCAGTCTCTGGTCATCTCCTGTACTGTGTCCACAGTCTCTGGTCATCTCCTGTACTATGTCTGCAGTCTCTGGTCATTTCCTGTACTATGTCTGCAGTCCATTGGTTCAGAATATTTTTTTTCTTGTTTTCCTCCTCTAAAATCTAGATGCATATGATGCATTATGGTCAGGTGCGTCTTATGGAGCGAAAAATATGGTAGTCTCTTCTCTAAAAGAAGTAATTGAGCTAGTCCAGACACATTTCATCTATGAGAAATCTTTAGCTTACCTAAACAATAGAATTACTAAATTTGACAACGCTTGGAAACCCTGGTCTGACTGGTTCAGAACTGTAACCTAAGATATTATTATGTTTAACCTTTTTTTGGATACTCTAAAATTATTATTTTGTGGAACTAGTAGGACTGTTAGGAATTATTCAGTGTTTCCTTTTTTCTCTTTGTTAAACTTTACCGCAACACCTATACTGTGATATTGTATATAGCTTTTCACTGTCCTATTTTTGCATTTTTTCTTTTTTGTTGTTGTAACTATATTTGTAAAACCAAATAAAAATGTAATATGAAAAAAAAATATATTTTTTCCAGCAAGAGCTCATCTATGTGAACTTTGGGGAACTGGAGAGAGTACAGAGAAGGACAACCAAACTGATAAGAGGCATGGAGGAGCTCAGCTATGAGGAAAGATTAGAGGAACTGAATTTATTCTCTTTTGAGAAGAGGAAAATTAAGGGGATATATGATCAACATGTATAAATACATCAGTGGTTCATATAGTGAACTCGGTGTAGAGTTATTCACCCTGAGGTCATCACAAAGGACAAGGGGGCACTCTTTACACCTGGAGGAATAAAAATTTAATCTCCAAATACGGAAAGGTTTCTTCACAGTAAGAGCTGTTAGAATGTGGAATAGACTCCCTTAAGCGTTTGTTCTGGCCAGCTCAGTGGATTGCTTTAAAAGAAGTCTGGATTCCTTCTTGGATACACAGAATATAACTGGTTACTAACATTTATCAGTAAAGTTGATCCAGGGAATATCCGATTGCCTCTTGGGGAATCAGGAAGGAATTTTTTCCCATGCAGAAACAAATTGGATCATCCTTCCTCTGGATCAACTGTGAGTGTAAGATTATAACTTTTTTTTTTACACTAATCCAGTGGTACTATGCCAGTCAATAAAGAGTCCCTAAAAATTAGAAACTTTAGCTTTGTAATAACAGAGCTCAATTCTTTAAGGACCCGTGGGCGTATGCCATCTGGTCCAGGTGCTTTATTCACCTTTATTCTGTCTAAATATTTCTGGATCATATCAATTGTGAGGCGATGAGGATCATCTGGGGCTGTGCCAATACCATGCCAATACCATGCTGTGCTCTCCCATGCTCCTTTGTATACACAGAGCTGAAGAAGGTATTTAATAAATTTGCCTTCTCTTTGTCCCTAGTCACCCACTCTAGATTATTATGTAAAGGGCCTACATGCTCCGCCGAAACTTGTTACTGTTAATATATTTGAAGAATTTTTGGAGATTTGTTCTGCTACCCTTTGCAATCTGTCGTTCATTTTCAATTTTTGAAACCTTGATTTCTTTTTTACATATTCTGTTATATTCTTTGTAATGTTTAAATGATGATAGCGTTCCTTCATTTTTATATTTAATAAAAGCTCTTTTCTTATTACCTATAGCTTTTTTAACTTTGGCTGTAAGCCACATAGGTTTGATTTTTAGCCTTTTAAACTTGTTACCCATGGGAATATATTTTGCAGAACGTTCACATACAGGCTTTTTGAAGAACTCCTGTTTTTTGTTCTGCTTTAAGTCCTGCTAGTTCACTTCATGCTGGCCTATTTTGCAGGTATAGCTATGTAAAACATTAAAAAGAAGTGCCTATACTGTATAAAATTAACACACTGTTTCACCTTGATCTGTACATGCTCAGTTGCTCTCTGTTTTGTGGAACAGGGCAAAAAATGTAGAGTCTGTTGACAGCCTAAAGATTTACTGCTGCTCAGGGGCTCTGGGCTTCAGAAAAATGACAGGCTCTAGCAAGAGGAAACAGGAACAATGTTGGAGGCAAGTCACAGCACACACTAATGATAACTATTAAAGTAGTTCATGAGGAAGAAGGTTTTTAACCTTAATTCATTCTATGCATTAGGGTAAAAAACCTTCTGTGTGCAGCTCTCCCCCACCTCACCAGCCCCCCCTTATATTTACAATCTGGATCCAACAATGTGCATGAGAGCAGCATCTCTCTTGGCTATCTCCCTCCTTATTGGCTCAGAGCAGCTGTCAATCACAGCCAGTGAGGAAGGAGTGGGGTCCAGCCATGCTCTGTGCCAGAGAATGGCTCAGGAGTACACCAACCAGCTTGCTATGGGGGCACTTGTCATGGGGAGGAGCCAGGAGCAGCGGGGGGGGGGGGGGGGACCCCAGAGGTGGATGATTGGGACTGCTCTGTGCAATGGTTTTGCAAGTAAGTATAGAATTTTTGTTATTTTTTAAATATAAAAATGTAGCCTTTACAATTACTGTAGTGTGGAATTTATGTTTCTTGCTAACAACATTATTTTTTATCAAGTTGTTATGGGTAAAGTTCTGCTTTAAGAATTCACATTCACTTTTACTATTATTACTATTACAGTGGAGGTAGTACCAGCATTTAAATAAACTCCTAGCCTATATAAGAGTCAAGATTTTAATTACATTCATTCACTAAGCTGCCTGCTTTCTTATAGAACTGCCCAAAACCTATGGGAAAGTGCCATCGACCCCTTATGATAGCAAAATTAAAAGGCACTCCACTTTAATGGAAAAAATATAGTAAATAAAAAGCTTAATATGGAGTATACAATTGCTAGACATGCCATATTGTAATTTAGGCCTGGTTTGCAACTGGATATGCAAACTGTTGTAATTCCTACACCGTTCACCTGATTTGGATGTAAATACCCACAAATTAAAGCTGACAGTCTGCAGTTAAAGCACATCTTGTTCCTTTCATTTCAAATCCATTGTGGTGGTGTATAGAGCCAAAAATGTTAGAATTGTGTCCATGTCCCAATATTTATGGACCTGACTATATTATATGATTCCTGATTGTGTCTCACCACTAGTCTGATTGAAGTCACAATTCCTGGCCAGTCCCGTTCCCTGACCTATAATAACCTTTAGGGCCAGTTCACACTACATGTGTTTCAGTTGCTTTTTTGCATCCAAAACACACAGAAAGAAGGTTATATGGTTGTCAATGTCATAGTTCACATCAGCGCTTGAAGTTCCAGTGCGTTGCAGGTGCTGCCAAAAAAGTCGAACAGGCTGCATTGTTTATGTATAGAACTGTACTTGGACGCGATAAAATGCCCTGGAACGCACTAAAATGCACATGTCCCTAATTAAATTGAAGAAAAAAAGAGGGGAAAAAAATGAACTGGAATGCAAAAAAAATAGCACTGGAACACGTCAAAAACGCATCCAAAATGCACTGGAACATGCTAAACATGCATCATCAAAAAGGTGCATGCAAAAACACATCTGGAAAACATCTAGACCAGGGGTGGGCAAACTTTTTGACTTGAGGGCCGCAATGGGTTCATATATTGGACCCGGGGGCCGGACCAAGAGTAGATGAATGATGTGTATGTGTCATCCATAGTAAGTATAGTAATATTCCCCCATAGTAAGCATAGTAATTAATCCCCCATAGTAATTAATCCCCCATATAGTAATTAATCCCCCATATAGTAATTCATCCCCCATAGTAATTCATCCCCCATATAGTAATTCATCCCCCATAGTAATTCATCCCCCATATAGTAATTCGTCCCCCATATAGTAATTCGTCCCCCATATAGTAATTCGTCCCCCATATAGTAATTCGTCCCCCATAGTAATTCATCCCCCCTATAGTAATTCATCCCCCATAGTAATTCATCCCCCATAGTAATTCATCCCCCATATAGTAATTCATCCCCCACATAGTAATTCATCCCCCATATAGTAATTCATCCCCCATATAGTAAGTCCCCCATATAGTAATTCATTCCCCATATAGTAAGTCCTCCATATAGTAATTCATTCCCCATATAGTAAGTCCCCCATATAGTAATTCATTCCCCATATAGTAAGTCCTCCATATAGTAATTCATTCCCCATATAGTAAGTCCTCCATATAGTAATTCATTCCCCATATAGTAAGTCCTCCATATAGTAATTCATTCCCCATATAGTAAGTCCCCCATATAGTAATTCATTCCCCATATAGTAAGTCCTCCATATAGTAATTCATTCCCCATATAGTAAGTCCTCCATATAGTAATTCATTCCCCATATAGTAAGTCTCCCATATAGTAATTCATCCCCCATATAGTAAGTCCCCCCCCTGTGTCAATTCACTTACCTTTGGTCCGCGCGTTCCTCTCGTATTCCCGCGCCGTTCTGGTCTTCAGGGAGGACTGTGAGAGGAGTTCGTCACGCTGCCCCGCCTACATCCTGACAGCTGCAGAGTCCTGACGTCCGAGAGGAGGGAGGGGGGCGGCCATCCGAGAGGGGGGGCGGCCATCCGAGAGGAGAGGAGGGGAGGGGAGGGAGGAGGAGGAGGAGGGAGGGGAGAGGAGGAGAGGAGGGAGGGGAGCGGGCGCCCGGCACACAGGAGAGCCGCATCTAAATTTGTAAAGAGCCGCGGCTTGCCGACCACTGGCCTTGCGGGAGCCTAGCTCCGCGGGCCGGATTAAAAGGTCCGCCGGGCCGTATACGGCCCGCGGGCCGTAGTTTGCCCATTGCTGATCTAGACTGTTTCTATAGTGTGAACTGGCCCTTAGGACTTGTTCACACCATTTGTGGTGCAGAAACGCATGCAAGAGCAAGCATTTTCCTGCACAGCAAAGAAATGCAATGCCCTCTGCAGATGTGCGCAGGTACCATGATGAAAACTTAATTGTACCTCCACATGTCTAGTAAACACAGACGCATTCACAGCCACCAAAAACGCATGGCACCACACTACTGTGCAGTTAGGTGCAACACACTTTGAAAATAATATGCCTGCAGTATTTTTGCATGTTCCCACACGTTAGGCAGCCCACTGAAATTAATGAGCTGAGGAAATAAAAGTAAAAACCGCCACATTCGCACAG